TTTCGAGATGTTTCGAATGGAAACGTGGTATAAATGTATATTTCTCTCAAGCGTAACGGAAATGTTTTTTTATAAAAAAGGCTTCTTGTTTTTAACAATTTATCCTTTACATTTACAACCATATAAATCAAGCAAATATTATTGAAAATTCGAAAACATCAAAACAACTCTTAGTAAACTATCAACAGGTAGTTTCATTAGTAGTTATTGGAAACGATACAGGATTCAACTTTGACATAAACAATTTTGTAAAAACAAACATCTATTGTTTTTGAACCCATAAGATAAATAAATTACTAAACTACCTGTTTTGAAATATAAAATCACATACACTTTCCCACAAGACATCACTTCAGTTAGAAACATCAGACACAACAAACCGTAACCAATATGGCAAATTTTGATATTTTACAATTGGTTCTACTTTTCATCTTATACGAACTAATAAAATATGTCTTTGGCAATAAGAATCCAGCGATGAATGTTAAGAAACTCAAACAATATCTTACACCAAGACGTAATCTGGAAAGGAGATCAAACAAATCTAATGTGGAGATTAGTGGTTTGAGATTATTACTGGAAGATGATACTAAAACTTGTGAACAAAAAGCGTGCTGTAATGGAAATATGGAAACGTTTCTCTTGGAATCTGACAACCAAGGTGGAATGAGAAAGCGACGCTTACATTCAAAGGCCAGAAGGACATTGCAATTTTAACAAATTTTATTTAAGAAAATGGTGTAGAATTTAAATATTTTTAATAAAATTATTATTTAAAACTTTATCTTTATCAATTCTACTTTATTTCAAAATTATAAGACTTTTTAAAAATTGTTAACAGATTTTGAATTTCACCAGGATCACTTTCTGCCACAAAATTCACTAAGTCAATCGAATGATTGATCCTTCTACAGCTGTGATTTTGTCTAATTAAAAATCGAAATAAGAAGCCGATCTTTACCATTTAGAATTATTCAACTCAAATTTAGAGGGCCCTAGTGGTCCCAGGGAGATACATCTGTTACTTCTAACCAAATTTGAATAGATTCATTAGTAAAATATCCTTGGAAAAGTGTAGCTCATGAAATATCTCGTGTATCGCTACTTTCTCATTCTGCTCTCTTGTAGAGCAAGTCAGTCTACCATCGCTTTCATCAAATATGTATTTTAAGTAGTATTTTGATAGCAGGTTTGTCTAAGGACAGGACATTGCATCTCCGAATGTTCTCATGTCCATGAATATCTTCTAAGAACTAGCGTCTGTTTCCCTTTGGGACGGCTGTCATTAGATTCGCTGTTCGTGTATAGTGCGTATAAATCCACTAGTGTCTGTACCCATATTGGACGGCTTTCAACCACAGGACGACAGAAGTTTAACCTTACCTGGTAGTAAGTTTAAATTCCAACTTGTCACCAAGACAGCAATAGAAGGAAAGGAAAAAGTATGCCCCTCGCATCCGGTCAGGTTTTTCATAATCTCCGAAGACCCTACTTCCATAGCATCGGTAATTGTGTATGGAAAGTCGAATATTACCGCAGTCAGGCAGCCACACCGGGTCAGGCTACTTTACGAGCTAACGGGGTCTGGCGCACTAAGGGTGGCTGAATGTACAAAGTTCAAAACTGCTCGACAAGAGTTCATATTGAAAGTTCGCTAGTACACTCTTGTTGCCTTCTTAAACATCGAAGGTGGCTATAATAATGTCTTTCTAGATGATCTTGATAAATTGGGGGTTTATCAATAAATTAAGCAGCTTATTAAACAGCTCATAATTAATAGGGTAATTAGTGCAACGACTGGTGAAGTCAATGTCTCAGGACTTGCTAGTAGCGACACACCTCAGGGGGGAGTTCTGTCTATCCTTCTTTGGAATGTAGCTATGAGCTCCTTGCTAAATGAATTACATATAGTAGAAGAAGAACTAAGACTTTTGGTTATGCTGACGATGTTACTTTTTTTCCTTAATACCATATCCAGTTGAATGAAATCTGCTCTCAATTTGCTGAGTAAGTGAAGCTCTTCCTATGGCCTTAGTGTGAATCCGCTGAAAACTGAGCATGTCATTTTCACTAGTAGGTATGAGAGTTCACATTATGGCTCCAAAGTTTAAAGGGAATAAGCCAACGAAGGCTCTGATAACTGTAATGAATTGCTGATCTGCAAACAGACTAAAGGCTTGTGGCTCGTAGTTTAGCTGTAAAAATATAGAACTACATACTACATCTAAATGTTGAGAACTGCGTTGCGAAACTTCACTTTGATAAACGCTTTTTCATACGGATCCCTAAAAGGAATTCTGTATCTGAGTCCCACTTACCCAATGTTATAACGAATGTTTACACTGATGCCACCAAGAGGAGTGCAACGGTGAGGATGGCTTCTACATTGAAAGATTTGGAAGCATATACTCCTCTAGGCTACCTAATTAGTGTAGTGTTTTACACGAAAAAATAGCTGCTACATTTGACTCCAAATCTGTTAATGTTGAAGCCAATCCCACCCTTCCACTCCACACGGAGCCATTAGTGTAAACATTCGTTACTGAATTTCTCTTAATATCGGAGATATATGTATACGATTAGACATCTAGTCGAAGTCTTCTCGACATTTAGGTTAACCGAAGAATACAGGATATCCCTTAATGAAATATCAAGGCATTTTAGGATAACGCTAATATGGTTCCCTGGGCATAACAACTGTCAGAGAAACTGAACAATGTTATCGGTAATAAGGGGACATGCCAGAAGAATGCGTCTTGAGTACAATGACTACAGCAAAATTTAAGGAGGATGAAGAAACTATCATCTCCTCAGCTACTGTCCAACATTCACCGGGAACAGAGGCTCTACCAAAAACCCTTTACCCCTACTTAATATAAAGCGAAAAGGTCAGGATAGATGAGCATGTCATCAGCAACTCAGCAAGTACATATCCTATCAAATACAGAATCCTGCGAACTGTATTTGATAGCAGTAAGTTATACTCAGCTGTTGTTAAAACTCCTGTAGTTTATTATTTAACTCCTTTAGTTTATATTTGTCCCACAATTTACATATTAAATTCATATTTCCACATATATATTTATGCATTTGGTGATTTACATACACGATTACATTTACATCTCGGCCAATATGTCAATGTTGTACAGGCACGAATACAATAAACATTTTCAACACAATATGCTATTGACTTTAATTAAAGCGTTGATTTCCGTTGAATTTCAGTTTATAATAGACTAGTGCATGAAATATTTAAAGGAAATTTCAAAAGTTTAAATTTAGGAATTCGAAAAGAAAGAAATTGGAAGAAATCTTAATATCCTAGTTTCGACTCAGAGCAGTTGAATACAAAGAAGTGTTTGACTTAATTTTAAAGTAGTACCTTATAGTGGTACATCTTAATCATGGACTATGATTCAATTGAATGAATATGGTTGTAAATTTCCGCTACATATTTATGATTTTGCTGATATGATGCATGTAAAGGAACACTTACATAAATTTTATTTTCATTAAATGCAACATTTCAATGCTTTAGGTAAAATGGAAACAGCATTGATAAAGCTTTACATACATATGGGGAATTTCGTGTCAAGTGACCCAACATTAAAATTTGAAGTCTTTCGATTTGGATAAAATTTGTATCAAGGTTAGTACAGACTTCTTTGGACAATTTTTGCTAGGACCAATAGGTGAAAAGTTACACTAATTTGAATAAAACCCTGTATGACCAAAATGACCTCATTTGACCCCCTCTAAGTCCGGCAGTTCTTGGCAGTTCTTGACACTTGACATGAAATTGCCCATACATACGTACATACATAATATGTATGTATGAAACTGGACACAGGCATGGGGGTAATGATTACACAAAGTAATTCACTACATGGTGAATTACAATTACTTGTAATGTGTAATTGACCAATAACCAATTACTTGTAATTGAAGTTTTGCCAATTACAATTACTTGTAATTGCAATTAAAGTTTCCAATTAAAATTACTTATAATTGTAATTTAGGTAATACTAATTACAAAATTACATGTAATTATAAGGAACAAAATTTACAATTACAAGTAATTGTAACTGGAATTTCTTCAATTACAATTAAAAGTAATTATAATTGGCAAAACTTAAATTACAATTACAAGTAATTGTAATTGGCGAAACTTCAATTATAATTACAAATAATTGTAATTGAATAAACTTCAATTACAATTACAAGTAATCGTAATTGGTGAATCTTCAATTACAATTACTTCAAATGTAATTGTAATTGAAAATGCAGTCATTACCCCCCATGCCTGACTGGACATATGATTGTATAATTTCACGCCCATTAGTTATGGCATCGATATTATTTAAAGGTTTTTTATATTTTTTTATTTTATTTCTAGCAAATGGAAAAATGGTCATAACTATGATAAAAATTTAAGGTTGAGTTAAAAAAAATACTTAAATTTTGTGATAGTTTAAACGAATTCAAGAATTAAGAACTTATTACATAATGTCTAATCCATCCATAAATTCCTCTATATAGTGTTAAATTTTATCATAAAGTAGAACCATACTTTTTTTGGCCAAATTTCTTTTGATTTATTTATTACAAATAAATTAATTTATCATTTAAACAATTAACAAGTTAACTCATAATAATTAAATAAAATAATAAACTCCATTAAACAACGCTCTTCACACATTTTAATCTCTATTACCCAGTAAACCCAATATATACATAAAAATTTGCACAATATCAATATACAAATTCAAGGCAGCAAAAACATATTCATCCGGACTCAAAGAATACTGATGCTTACCGCCCAACATTAATTGGGTGTCATATAACAGATACAAGGAAAATATCAAAACACCCAACGAACAGTAGATCAATTTCATGACATGCGTTTGAAAGAAAAACATAAATAAACCGAATAGTAAAAACACCACCAAGACCACCAGTAAAATCCTCCCATTACGGTGAAATCCCATTTAGTTTGCATG